TTAATAATGAGCAGGGCGATAGCAAACGCACATTGGCAGATAAACTATGTAGTGAAATGAATGAGTGGGAAAAAGAAGATTTGAAAAGGTGAAAATAATTATATTAAATAGTAAATTCTATAATAAACTTTTTTAATATTTCTAGTAATCCGTTTATGCAGTATGTGGTGAAAAAACTATATAACGGGAAGCAACCAAGCGCCAATGGCAAATCACAAAATACAACGTGCAACTTTTTACAAAACATCATAAATCCATTAAAAGGCGTGCAGAAAATAGAGGAAATTTGTCAAGAAATGCCAAAAGGTTGTTGCATATTTTTAAAAAAATGTTTAGTTGCTTTTAAAAACTATAATTTTGTTAACATTTAGAATGGACAATATTGCAATTGTGTAAAGGCCCGCGTACGGAGACAACATATTCAGTTTATCCACAAATTCATGAATTGGATGCGAGCATTTATGTAACTGTGTTAAGGCATGTACGTAGTGCTGAATATCCCACACCGATTAGCCTGCGCTTTAGCGGTCCAGAGCAGAAGGAACTTTTTCGAAAATACGCCAATATTGCAAATCAATTTAGGCAATGCATTAATGTTGATCCCAAAGAGTACAACACAAAAGAATCGAAAAAAATGTATTGGGATATGCTGACGGAATTAGATCAATATATTGCGGTAATTAAAAACACAGCTATATTACTGCGCAATTTACTATATACATAAATGATTTGTTTGATTGCAGCAAGTGCTGAAAGAGTTGAAGAATTTCTTTTTCCCTTGGAGTTTCCTCTTCACTGGCCAATCGTACATGAGAGCTTCGCCGGAAGCCAATGCGCTAATGACGCAGCAAAAGCAAGCATTCGCCAGTGTCGATGACTTTTGCAATGAGCATCGCTGGCTAGTGAAAGAACATGTATTGCTCTCCTTGACCGCCATGAATGTCGATGCGCTGTCTGAACTCGAAATTCATGCAATTTGCGCTTTGCTCACCAGCAGCGAACGCGAAAGGAGTAACGCTGCTAAATTACTACTGAAGCTACAAAATGCGCGTAAGCAATTTTACTAAGCATTTGTGGTTACATTGTAACTAACTTTTTACTAAATTTTTATAATTTTATTCCCTAAACAGCAGCAGGCGCTGAAGGTATTGCTGAAGGCGACAATAGTGGCGCACCAACAGGTCCCTCCACTCATCACTATCCCGTCATTTTAATTGTGGATGAGGTGTGTATATTCATCCAAAAAAAAAAAAAAAATGCTTGTAAATTAAGCGCTTTAACGCAATCTATTTACTATCGCTTACAGCGTCTTGATCATTTCTTTTGGGAGGAAATAAATACTCAACAAGAATTTTGCCGTGTCAATTCTCTACAATGTCTCTGGCGTCTACACAGTCTCTATGGTGAGCGTATGCATCGCGGTTATTTACCCGTCAACATTGTGGACGGTGGTTGCCTGCTGAATCCCGGTACGTTTTTTTTTGCACTTCACCACGAATTAATTGCGGTATTAATTTTAATTACTTGCGCTTCCTCTTTATGCAATCTTCATCTCCATCTCCACGTGGCAACCATTTACTTGCTTAATGCCTTTGTAGATAACAATTTGCCAAAAACCGAGACACGCATGCGCTCCTTTTTCGAGTATTGGCTACCGCATTGGCAGCGAAAAGTCGGACAGAAGCCAACACAGGATGAACTGCTTAAGGACTTCTTCAAGCGCAGCTGTTATGTGTAAGCATTTTGGTGTTGCTAATTATGTTGCACGTTTACCTTTACAGTTTAATACACACAAAGAGGTTAATCGACTTTTGAGTTTATAGTTGGTAGTCTCTGAACTTTAATCCTTTCATCTAATTATCGTTAAATGTTCTTTATGCTTTTGTAAAGTATTTCGAAAGAAGCTTTTAATTTGTCAGCGATATTATACACTCTGTGGAAATGATCGTAGTAGTTTTGTTTATCTAACGCTTGTTTGTAACAGTAATGTATATGGCAAAGTAGTATTATATTCAGAAAATAGGTATATGTAGTTATTTAAGTAATTGGAATGAATAGCGAAGATTCGTCCGACCGCGGTCTGGACGTAATGTGTTCGTAACTTGGTGTAGTCAGCCTATTGCCACGCCCACAAACCCGTTATTCAAAGCTTCAAAGTACGAAATTTTAGTTGCGTTTTAAACTAGGAAGTTTCAATTAAACCCACCTATCACATAACGGTATTTTCAAAACTACTAAAAGGCCCTAACGAATGACAGCAGTAAAATCAATCTTTGAGCAGTTTAATATTACATTTATATAGACGGCCTTACTCTTGTATTGTACAATGCGTGGTTTCGTTATGATACATGTTTTAATTCTGCGACCAATTTCGCAAAATATTTTTTATTAAACTTATTAACCAAGCTAAACGAGAAAGCAACCGCGCATGCTGATGTTAAAACATCTAGGCCCAACGGGAGTAAACTACCTCACCAAGGTCCTCAACCTGTCGACATCCACTCTTCAAATAGATAGTTCATGGCCTGAACCAGAAGCCACCCTGCGAGAGGACGATCCTCGTAGCGTTGGACTTGTCAAAAGCTTTTGACACAGTCAACCACGCAACGCTACTTGAGGACCTGGAACAATCAACGCTCCCTCCAGGGCTGAAGCGGTGGACCATGAACTACCTGAGCGGTCGACACTCATCCGTACTATTTCGAGGTCAAAACTCTAAACTCAGGAAAATTAAACAGGGGGTTCCGCAGGGCGGTGTCCTCTCCCCGCTACTGTTTAATTTCTACATTTCAAAACTCCCCCAGCCACCAGCGGGAATTTCAATGACCTCGTACGCAGATGACTGTACGATATTGACGTCGGGCAATGGAATCGATGGCATGTGTTCAAAAGTAAACGGCTACCTCTCCGATCTTTCTCGCTTCTTTTCTGCAAGGAACTTAACACTCTCCCCCACTAAATTCACAGCGACCATCTTCACCAATTGGACGAAGGAGTACAGACTGGACCTGAACATTTCAGTCGATGGCACAAAAATTCCGACAGTAAATAACCCTAAAATTTTAGGCGTCACTTTGGACAGTCTGTGCCCTTTCACTCCTCATACGACCGCGATAACTGCCAAAGTACAGAGCCGTAACAAAATCCTCAAGTCGCTTGCCGGCAGCTCATGGGGAAAGGACAAAGAAACGTTGTTGGCAACATACAAGGCAATCGGCCGGCCGGATGCAGTGACACGCAGAATAAGAAGCTTCAGACTTGTCAGAACACTGCACTCCGGACTATCACGGGATGCCTCTTGATGTCCCCAATCGAACACCTACATAGCGAGGCCCGTATGCTTCCGGTTAAGGAACATAACGAGCTCCTCTCCAAGCAGTTTCTGCTGGGATGTTTTCGCAGAAACCACCCCTGCAGACGCCTGCTTGCAGCGGAGCAGCCTCCTAGGAACATCAAGAGGTCCTTCCTTGACTACGTCGACGGCATCAAACAGCACGCCGACCAGACTTCGGACGCAACTAACTTCAGACAAGCACTGACCGCCATTCACAGTGGAGCCATTAACACCTTCACCGACTCCCTTTCAGTGAATGGCGTAATACGAGTCAAACCACCACCCATTGCAGACACAGAGCTCGAGTTGCCTCGCGAATCTAGAGTGACCCTCGCGCAACTTCGTTCTGGATACTGTAGCAGGTTAAACTCCTACCTATCCAGAATAGACCCTGACATACCAAACACATGTCCTGCATGCAATGAGTCTCCGCATGACACTAACCACCTCTTTGCATGCCCAACAAACCCCACTCATCTAACACCCCTCTCCCTATGGTCCGACCCCGCCGAAACAGCTCGTTTCCTGGGCCTTCCGTTAGATGACCTCGACGACAACGAATCTAGAATTTATCACCCAAACGGGGATTAGATAATCTTTATAACAACAACAAGAAAGCAACCGCGCCTACTGAATCCCTTCGGCCTCACTTTTTGAGATATGGCACTGATTTTTAGTACATGTTCCTTTCTCCCCAAGAAGTTACTTATTTGTCGTAATCGCTAATATCGAACAACTATAGCATATAGCTGTCATACAAACTGAACAATCGGAATCAAGTACTTGTATGCGAAATTTTTTCATTTGACAAAATATCTTAACGAAATTTGGCATCAATTATTGTCCAAAGCTACGCTACAATCTCCGAACAAAATATTCGGATCGAAACACAATAGCATATAGTTGTCATATATACTGACTGATCACAATCATCAGTTCTTGTATGGAATACTTTTTTATTTGGTAAGATATCAACACGAAATTTGACATAGATTATTATCTAAGGCAACGCTATAATCTCCAAACAAATTGTACAGATCCGACCT